AACAATTCCCTTATCATCAAGTAGGTTCTCTATCTTCCATTATAATAAAGACATAATCAAATGGTACCATTCATTTTAGTATTCGATCAACAAATAATAAATCTAACAATTACTATGATATATTATCTCATAATCAAATCATTAAAACTCCTTTCTTCTATCATTTTTCCTTTATAGTTATATCCATATTTCATGAAAGTTAATGACTCAACAAACAATTTCCAACAATATATGCATTGGTGGACAAAATCTGAAAATATGCAGAATCATTCACAGTCAATATTCATAAAAACTAATAAATATCGATCAAATTCGTCGAAAATTACGTATCTTAACCCTTTACCCCTAAAATCGACCCAGCAACATTAGTTCTGATTGAAGTATAAGAATAGACTATACGCGTACCCCATATGACAGGGATATAGTCAAATTTGAATGAAGCTCTTTCTTTGTGATACTGAGAAATGGGTCGTTTTCGACCCATTCGGGTTGAGTGACATGAAATTTTGATTTTTGTTTTGTTTGTTTTTATTAAGATTTTGTTAGATCGTTTAATGCTTAATTTCTATGAAGTGTCGTATTTTCTTTCGTAAAATAACTTATTCTGGAAAACTTAATCGTTTTTCTAAATGATATTAGATGAATGTAATTACTTTTAAGTGAAAATTTACAATGAACAACACTAGAGAAAACACTGATAGCTCATAACTATTTCGATTTTTTACAATGAAAATTTTTGAAACAATTACGTGTTGCTGTAAGAGAAATGTATTCGACATTTCAAACAGCTAATAACTGTTTTGTTTGAACAGCGTTTTTGTTTACGTCGAATATGTGTACTTTTGTCAATGATTGGCTAATGTCCTACACCATCCTATTGTCTAGTTTATGCTTTTCCTAACCGATGTTCAATTACTAGTGGTTGTTATAGCATGTTTCACTATTTTTAACTGCACAAAAGTTGTTAATAAAAAAATATTGCTACTTACGCAATCATATCAATGAAAACAAATCATTTGAGAAAAACAAAAATTTTATGTCACTCTCCCCGGATGGGTCGAAAACGACCCAAATTGACTTGAGGAATGATGCTCCTTCACGTATAATCAACAAATCCATTTGATCTTTTTTTCAAAGAGCTTAGTGCAGTAGCAGTACACATCAACAATTAGAGTGTCTGAGTACTCAATCTACGTGAATAACAAAACGGCACAAACTTAGAAAACAGGTTTTTTCATATTTTTGAAAATTTGCAATTTTTTGGTTCAAATAAGTTGGGTAAAGAATGATTGGAGAGAAAACTTTTTTTATGCATTTATAGCCAGTTCAATTCTCTACACAAATATTTGATAATCTTCTCAAGCGGATGTTTTCTTACTAAATTATGCAGATTGTACGAATGGGTCGAAAACGACCAAGCCGGGGAGTAAAGGGTTAATGTTAGTATATGTTTATTTTCTCAAAAATAATGAATATTTATATTCTTATATAGAATATTAATAACAATAATCATTGTAATAGTATCAAAGTAAACTATTTAATTATTTTCTTCATTTCTCTTTATGAAAAATTTCTTGACTAAAAAATAGGCTACGGATGTTTCTTCAGATAAATTCGGAATTATTAACAATTATCATCGGAATAAGAAAAGAAATAGAAAAAGAAAAATTGTAAGGTTTTTTCAAATATTTTGTCTATGATATATTTATATTTCTGATCGATGTTTGTTGCAGATGTACACGTAAATACGTGATAGTATCTATTGTTGTTGCTTTAATAGTTGCTATCATCATTACTATAATTCCAATTGTTCTTCTAACAAAGTCCAAAACAAAAACATATAAGAAAGAATGTATTTTTCTCTTGTCTCACTTGTATCCAATTATTTACATGAATAAATTTACATCATAAGAATTTCAAAAGGAAATTTCAGAATTCAATAAACAATTTTTCGATTTATTTTCAATCATTATTGATATAAAAAAAAATTATGCGACAATGAATATCTTTTAATTAAAGAATCGATACATTGTTTTTAGTAGACTTGACTATTGTCTTCGCAAACAAGTTCTCTGTTCATTTGATTGCTGTATATATGTATCATATTAAGAATGAATAAAATGGACAAATGTTTAACATAGATAAAAAATGCAAAAAAAAACAGCTAAACTTGTAATAACACGTGATATTTCGGTACCTATTACACAGATATCATCATCAGACAAAAAACTACCAACATCAACTATGCATATATCTATATGAGATTTATTTCAGATTAATACAGTATATGTTTCTTGTCAGATGGAAGATATAAAATTATAAAAACTAATCTAAGCAACTTTTTTCACAAGGAACGGTATATTCGGTATCCTTCGTCATGCCTGTTTCACTACATCATGTGGTACAAAACGTGAGTAGTTTTCAAAATGATTTCTCAAGTTTGTTTTTTGTAAATTATATATATATATATTATTTACTAGAAAGCTTCATAAGAATATTTATTTTAAGTGGTACTAGTAATTTAAGTAATCAATCCATCACTCCTTATGGCATTGCATATGATTCAACTTCCGATACACTTTATATAGTGGACTATGGCAATAGTAGAGTTATGTGCTATGTATCAGGACCATCATGGGATTCTTTGGTCGCTGGCGATGGTACATATGGAATGAACGTTACGCAACTAGGAAGTCCTACCCGTGCTTATTTTGACTCAGTGTCCAATAGTCTTATTATTGCCAATTATGTTGTCAATAATATTGTTTGTTGGCCATTAAGTGCCACTAGCTGAACACTGCTCACCGGTGATATCAATGGAAATACAGGAAATAATACAACTGGATTGGCTTATCTAACCGATGTAACTTTGGATCCGATGGATAATATGTATGTTGCTGATAGAAATAATCATCGAATACAATTATTTATAAATGGACAAACAGAAGGAATAACAATAGCTAAAGTTACAGGTGTTAATGGTAATAATTCTACTTCGTTGAATAGGCCCTGGGTGGTAGTACTTGATAGTCGACTCAATTTATATGTTGCAGATTCATATAATCATAGAATACAAAATTTTTTACGGTATTGAAGAGAATTTGATTGATAGAATTTACATCAAATAAATTGTGAATTCATTTTTTTGCTCATTTCCTTTCAATAAATGACATGCACCACTTTTTTCTAAAATTTTTGTTTAGATAATATCTTTTCAAAATATCTAGACATGAAGTGGCATGTTTGAATGATGAAACTACCTAATACAGTGATTCTTCATGATACACGGAATAGATCTCATTTCTTATATCCAAGTCGATGGATAATATAGTTATCCATATTTTTCACCGTAAATTTAACCTGCATGGCTGTTTAGAGTTACATAGAGTACGTAAAGATGACCATATTTTCTTCTAATCTTGGTCATTAGAATACGAAACTGTATCCAATCGTATCGTTCAATCTGATTTCCTACAGTAGAATATATGATAGTCTATATTTTGTAGTTGAAGTTTCTACTTCATGTATTTTCAATCTATACAAGTATCACTGACGAACGAATTCTTCTATAAGAAAACTTGATTTATCTGTATTTGTCACGTTAAAGTCATTTCAACTGTTATGTATAATTTTATGTTGATTCAATAATTTATTATTGAAAATTCAAGTTAAAATATATTTCATGTCAAAAAATTTTCGAACAACAGTAATACAATCTGTAAATTCAGAAATACAAGTAGAAATTTGAATGATAAAAGAAAACAAAGTTTTGAAAAAGTTTAACGAAAGTATTCCTCATACTTTTGCTGAAGACTTTAGTAATTGCAATGTATGGGACCTGAAATTTTTATTTTGCACTTTTTTTTATAGATCACTAAGCTATAATTAGGTTTATTTAGTGAATCATTGTAATGGTTTTAGAAAAGTTTTTAATTGTCAACAACTGAATAAATATATCAAAATGCATTGTTATTCTTAAGCATTTTTATCAAAAGCTGCTCCACTACTCTTTATTTTCCATAATGCTCTCTCTCTCTCTCGTCGTATTACTCAAAAGCAGTTTTGACTGGGTTCTTAAATAGTTTCTTGGAAATTTACTTGTAACATTAATTAACTTTCAAACAGAAAATTTTACTCTGATATTATTTTTGGATGATGTCTACTACTCCAATAATCGATTTAGTGTTCCTTACGATATTGCGCATGACATAGTATCTCATACACTTCACATCGCGGTGTAGGTGTTGGTTTGAGTGAAGAGAACATACTCACACCACATCCTAAAGATTACGGTTAAATGTCCGTTGTTTGAAGCGAATGTTCTTATAAAACATACTTATGAAGATAAACTCAGGAGCGAAAACCAAAAACATAGTATTCATTGACTGGATTAATAAAAAAAATATGTTCTTAGGACATTCTTAGATTCGATGTGAATTAATTTTGAAATAGTTTTCTCTAGACTGAAATCAAATTGAATGTACTGGAAGGAAAAAAAGCCTTCTGATAGTTAATAAAACTTGATATTTCGATTAGTAATCTCCATTATATAATAACAATAATAGCAGATAGTGAGTTGAACAATATAAATGCTATCGTATTACTAAAAAGTAATATGAAACAAACAAAAGGTTTAATTGGTTATTTGAGAATAGAATATTTTCCCTGTTAGAACACACATCTTGCTATTTGTAATAATGTTATACAAAATAAAGATTTTATAAAAAATAGCATAGGAACAAATTTTCATTAAATTAAATAAATACAATTCGATTGTTTAGAAATATTAGAAAAAAATAATTGTCAAAATGTGTTTTTATTTCTCATTCAATTGGTTTCAACAGAAGATAAATAAACGAGATAGAATTACAACATAAACAATGAATCATGTCTTTCGTCCATTTTGATTGCTTATCTATTTGGCCACCCATCGATCATTATTATTTTCTATATGGTTTGTTTTTCTTTTCATTCGTCGACATCCATTTCATATCATGTCCATGTTAAGATTGTACTTCGTTCTATTTTATCAATGTATTCTTTGTGTTTTTGGTTGGGGGCCAATTGGTCATAGTCTTGTTGCACATCTTGCTCAAAGTCAATTAGATTCATCGACTAATAATTGGATTTATAATTATATACCATCGGATTTATCAGGTAATTTAAGTGCAATTGCATCATGGCCTGATATAATACTTTATCGAGATACAAATCCATTAGATTATACTAACTGGCAATGGTCTCGTGAATTGCATTTTATAAACACACCTGATTGGAATTGTGAATATATTTCAACAAGAGACTGTTTAAATAATAGATGTGTTGAAGGTGCATTAAAGAATTATTCACAAAGATTAATTGATAATAATTGTGATTATGTTCAACAACAACAAGCTCTTTTTTTTCTTGTTCATTTTGCTGGTGATGTTCATCAACCATTACATTGCGGTTTTCGAGGAGATCTTGGTGGAAATAATGCCAAAGGTAAATTTATTTCATTTTTTTTGTTTAATTTATTTATAAAATTATCTTCTAGGTTTCTTCTTCAATGGAGCAAATTTAACAAATCTTCATGCAATATGGGATGTTGAAATAATTAATACTCGTATTAATCGTCATTTTCAATCAGATGTTAATCTTTATTATGAATATTTGAAATCACTTATGTTTAATCAATCTTTATTAATTAATGAAACATATAATGATTATAAAATATGGATTGATGAAAGTGTTGATTATGTTTGTAAACAAGTTTATTTTGATGACAATAATATTAAACTTAATGTTTCAAGAAATTTTACATTAGGTGATGAATATTTCAATCGAAATTGGCCTCTTATTGATCAACGTTTAGCACAAGCAGGTCGTCGACTTGCATCGTTACTTAATCAATTAGCTAAAAATCGATCATCAAGAAAATTTCCACCAGACACTCAAGCACTTATTATTGTTTTATGTATTGCATTAGCTATTGGTATCTTTGCTGTTCTAAGTGTTTGTTTATATAAACGAAAACACATTATAAAACATAATGTTTTGATATCTGAATAGTCATACTATACATTGTTTAATGAATAAAATAGAATTATTAGAAGTTAAATATCATTGTTTCTTCGTAAATTTGATTCAAAATTTATAAAGTATTTATAATTAAAGAACGAAATGATGACAAGAAGATATCCCATAAGGTCACTTGGTTTTCTTCCAATATCGATTTTCAAAACAATATTTGAAATTTTTATGAAACTTTCTGAAGATATTCGTCAATGAAAGTACACCAATAAAAAAATTTTCACGTCTCCAAACTTTACTGATCAAGAAATTTCTAGAGTACACATGAGAAAATATGACTCTCGCGCGTGTAAATGCATTTTCTCAATCAACTTCAAGCGATAGTCATCATGATATTCTCATTTGAAAGAAAGCTCGTTATCACTAAGGATAAGGGATATGGTTTTTCCTTAGTTTATTCTAATTTTTGAGAATCTCAGTCTTAAAATTCTAAAAATTATAAGTAAAGTTATCTAGACAACCTATAATTGCTTTGGTTTTAAGGATCAAATATTAAATCCTTTATCTATCATTCGAAAGAGGATCCATCTATCTATTGTATAAAAACGGAGCATTTCATTAGAACGAATTATATTTAAAACAATTGTGCAGAATTCTACAAATTTATGCAGAAATCGATATCGAAAATTTTTGTATATTTACCAGAAGAGCTCTCTAACATGAGCATCAAACTATGAATATGCCACAAGAGTCGATCATGTTGTCAATAACTAAATTAAGCAATAGCTTAATTGGTTTTAGTTAATCATTAATATTAATATAAAAAACACCTATTAGCACTGTTCAATTCATTAATATTGATGGTTAAAGGATAATTAAGAAGTTAGAATGAATTTAAAAATATTTTATTTGGACTTTTCGGTTCAGGATGGTTATTTCACGAAACTTAAATCTACAGGTAGTTTCTTAACATTTTTTTAGTTTTATATTTCAGTTCGAAGAAACCTATGTGATGAAAAGTCAAGTTTTTATAAAACTGCACTAAAATCACAGATCAGGACCTAACGAAATGTTTTAATCAAAAAGAATGCTTCCTTCTCGACATAATGAGTTTTCAAGAAAAATCCCTTTTCCTAACATGTCGTACCGTGAAGGTGTTTCTTCAAACTCAATATTTGAAGAAAGAAACATTCATTTTGATCGTAACGTTTAGATCAACTATAAAGTCATGAGATCTATTTGTGATACAAAGTTTTAGATCGAAATTTTGTACTTTGAGTGTTCAGTACATCTTTTGTTATGGTGATTAATCTAATGAAATGTTAATAACTCAGAAAGAAAGACGTATACACTCTTATCATATTAAGTTATTTTTTCTATTCGCACAGAGTCCTTTTTATGGAAAAAATCTCAGTGCAAAGCCCTCAGTCATTTGAGGAAGTTTCCTCATAAATTACTAATCTAGTTAGTTACAGTGCAATATTAATTTCTCTAAAAGAAAAAACCTAAACCAAAATACAAAAAAAAGAACGCAATTTCTGAATTCAAAATTTTCCGATCTGTTTTTGTCTTGATTGATTCATTATATCAACAGTACTGATAACGCTACTCTTCCATGTTGTCATCGTCTATTTCAGTCACATAGATGCAGTTATACTAATGAAAATAATTATCAAAATTTCGTTTCAATAGAGTCTAAAATGTTGATGTCAACAAGACTCATTGATAGACACCTACGTAATATTGTATCTCACAAGACAACAAGTTACGACTGTCAAATTATAAAAACTCAAATCATACCCACTCTCATGTGTTTTATTTGTTTTAACATATCGTATTAAAAAAACATCAGTGGTACATGTGTCTGAACGTGTCATTGACATACACTACGCATAATATGATAGAAACAAATAATTTCTCCTTTTCTTTTTCGTTCTCATCGAAAAACGACGTAAATAGAATCTAAATAATCGTAGGTGATAAATACAATAATAAGCAACGATATTGCAATATAAATATAACAAACAAAAGACGAAAAAAGAGTGGAGAAAAAAAAATGTGGTATATTAAGTTGAGTGAACCATTGTCATTATTTCAAAGTGTAGAAAAATAAAAGGTATAGCAAGTGACTAACATTCACCAACAATCAATCATTGATGTCGTTAAATTCCATTTTCGCTGGTCTCAAACAAATACTTCCTACCATAATACCACCCGGTTATGAAGAACTAATTACTGGACAAGATTTGGTCATTCGATTTCTTTCTGCTAATGTTTGTTTTTTTTTATAAATATTTTTATTTTTCGTATTTCTTTTTTCTAGGATTTACCTAAAATGGATCTAATTGGTATTTGTGATCCATATTTTATTGCAAAACTTGACGATGAAATTTCATATACGTTAGTAAAGATATGGGCAATTCTTATTTATAGTTCTATGTTGTAGGTCAATGGTTATAAGTAACACATTATCACCTCAATGGACAGATGAAGAATGGATTGTTCGTAATGTTCCACTACATGCTAAACTTACTATAAATGTTTATGATAAAGATGATGATTCACTTAGTGATGATTTTATTGGTCAATTTGAAATTAATGATTTGTCTAATTATGAAGCTCCGCCAAAAGGCCATTGTATTCTAAGTTCATTGGGTAGACAGAAGGGTCGTTTTCATTTAACTATTCAATCAACAGAATCACCGGAATCAAGTAAAAAGCTTCCTCGTTATACATTCGATGGTCCTTGTCGTTATAGTCGACATAATTCTTCAGTTGCTGGTTATTTAACTATGCTTAATCAGGAGTGTATTTATTCAACATGGAAAATTAATTTAAGACGAATATCTGTATTTTTTCATTCATATGATCGTCAACAATGGAATCGACAATATCGAATTGCTCAAACAATTTTTAGTGGTACACCACGTGCAATAGCTAAACAAAATGCATTTAAATTAGCACATAAAATGCTTTATGGACGAACAATAAAAAATAATGAAAGTGGACGATTAACAAATGCTGATGATTTATGGAATAAAATTTTTTTCGATGATAAAACACAAAAAATAAGAACATGTATTTATACTTATATTATTGATGATAGTACATGGAGATTTAGTGAAACAGGTATTGGATATTTTACTGATTTTGCAAGTAAACATGCTTTACATGCCAATTGTGCAGAATCTGTTCGTTATGCTGGTCAATTTCATGCACGTCCTAAATATGGATGGGATCGATGTGATGATGAATGGGAATTAGTATTCGATAATTGGTCAGGAACATATGCTCCTCATGCAAATTTATTGAATAATTTAAAAGAATTATTAGAATTCAATTTTCCTGGATTGAATGTAGTTGTGTATGATTTTAAAAATCCTTCGGTACAAGAAAGTATGGATGATTTAAAATTATTCGAAAAAAAAACTAAAAGAAATTCTATATGTTTCGGTAATATGCTATTTAGACCAAGTTTGACTGAAGCACAATAACTGGAATAGTTCTTGATTGCAAACAAAAAGTCTAGTGGGTTTTCTTTTTATGTCGTGAACAGTGTTTTTTGTTAAATTGTTTTATCTTGAAATATAACTAATCATGAATTCAATAGAATAAATTCTCTCTGTTTGAGATCTATGGTAGCTCGTTGTGAACTTCAAATTAATAGTATTTAAATAATTGTGCACTCATATCGATCAATTGATTGGAATGTCAATACTGAAATCCATCTCGAAGATGTTTATCTTCTTATGCTGTGATATCCATCCAAGTAGAATTTTTCTTGCGTTTTTTTTTTTACATTTGATTCTATAGGGCGTGAGTTTATACATTTTTTTGATAGTTTTAGCACGAATTGTATTCATTCTCTTACGTATAGGTTACTATTGTAGATGTATTTATAGTTTGCGATCTAAAGAGCAAAGATTCATTTTTTACTTACATAGAATAGTCAAAACATAGACTTTACAACTATGAATTGTTTTTTTTTTCGCTAATTTTTATCTTCAAAAATCCATAAAATGATAAGATGACTGTCACATTCAGGATTAGCGTAAATAATCTTGCCTTTCAGTAAATGTTTGAAGATGAAAATTCGTGAATACAGTAAACTAGATAGATTCACAATAGCAACGGATACTTAGGCAAATCATTATAATTCAAGCTAGCACTATCAATAGAATTTATAATATAAATTTGATTCAATATCGTATTGAAGTTCCGTTTTGAACTGTGAATTAGGAAAAAAAACATATTTCAGAATCCTACAAGAAGAACAAAGAGAAAAATTTGTCCTAGTTAAATAAAAGATGCTTTTGGCCTTGTACCAATCTGAAAGAAATATCTATAAAGCGTCAACAACAAAGTTTTCATCATCAGTAACTCACACTCAATTTAATCATATATGAAAGAAACGACATGAAAAATTCTATTTGAAGCTCGAGTGACGTGCGTCTTAAAGTAACTTATATTGTCATGTTTACCATCTATGTACAAGTACATTATAATAAATAGTAAGAAAATATGTGATCATTTTCAAGGCTTCTTAACGGAAGAAGAAATAAAGAGTTTCTGAGATTAGTACTAGCAATATTCTGTAATATAAATAATGGGAAAATAAACTAAAGAACATTCGAAAATAAAGTTTGTAAAAAACTGTCTAATATATTTCGATAGTATGCACTGTATTTATAAAACAATTTTATTTAGTATATGAACTTGAAATTTTATGGAACATGATACACAACATCACAAATAAATATTATCATTAATGAATTAGAATAAATAAAATTAGAGAAATTTTATGTTTATTATTACTGCCAACTGAAATACATGTGAAAAAGTTTTCTTAAAAACTTTTTAGAGATCTTTGTCAGTTAGTTCATCGTTTGAATAAACAAGTATTATTTATTATTTGAGTTCTCACAAAAGCAAATATATATTCGATTGATTAATAAAAAATTGATTAAACGAAGTTTGAAGTCTTTAAATCAATTGACCTATCAAATATAAACTCAATATCAAGTAAGTTATTCTGGAGGAGGTGTAGGCATGAGTGCGGTTGGACATTTTTTCTTCTCTCAGACGCCCACAAACCCTTCAGTATGTGAGCCTGAAGTGCATAAAATATAAAACACAATACCATAAATAAATATTGACATCAATGAATCAGAATCAAAAAAATGATTATTCGGAGTATAGTTTTGTTTGACAAAAAATATAGATAATCATCGTCTATTTTTCTTTCTTTTCTTAAATTGCACAATCTTTATGCAAGTACGATACATTCTTATTCGTCAAATTTTTTTTCTCTTTGTGTGCACGACAAACGATGGAATGTTGTTATAATGCTGACACGAGTCCTTATTTACCAAAACAACTTGCTTCTGTAAAAAAAAATTATGAAACAGATTCATTTCATTATGATCATACGACGAAATTACTAAATTGTAAACTTTTAACAAAAAATCCATATCGATCTTATTTCAAACAAGTTTATCCAACAAACATCAATGAATATGAACTTACCGATGATATGTTAAATGTTTTAAAAACATATACAAATAGTCTTTCAAACGAATGTTATATAAAAACAAATTTAAATTTATTAAGTGCAAATTTAGATGAAATTGATTGGACTTATGTTAATAAATTACGTTCATTAATACGAGGTTTAGTTCAAATAAATATTAAACATGTGTACTATCGTGGTTTAATACTTAGTGATACAGAAATTCAATATTATATTGATAAAAAAAATCAATATTATTATACAAATTCATTTACATCATTTACAACTGATCGTTTACTTGTTTATTCTGGTAATGCTCTATTAATTTTAAAAACTGAGAATTCTACTGATAAAGCAAAGAAAAATCTAGCGAATATATGGAAATGGAGTACGTTTATCGAAGAAAAAGAAGCACTTTTAGCTGTTGGAACGAAGTTAAAAATTTTAAGTGTACACTATTTTGGTTGCAAATGGGAAATTGAAGTTGAATTAGCAGAAGATGATGAAGAATTCATTGAAGAAATTAATTAATCAATTGTATTTCTTCTTTTTATTCATCATTGTGATTATTTGAAAAATGAAAAGCTATTCTTATTTGTGTGTTGTACAGAGGAATGAATCGGTATGATTCAAGGATTTTATTAATAATAAAAAAAGCAATCCCACTTTGGCACACAAAAACAAACAATACACGCAAACATGTTTTACTTGTGATTTAACTTGAAATAACATGAAAACAAAATAATGTTACTGGTTAATTGTGCATGTGAGAAATTAAAAAAAGATGAGATTTCAACTTGTAATCTATGCAGCTGTAATACAGTAATTTAAAAGCATTTTGAAACTTCTAAGGAATATTCTTTGTAAATGTTCAACATTGATTATTTTTTTAATGAAACTATGGAGTTCATATCCAAAATGATTGCGTTAGAATATGGATTATTCTATCAAAATATATAGTCTCAATTTTATTTATTTGGCCTGTAGATGAAAAATTTGATAATTCATATGCAAGATGATGGTCGTGTGCTGCTTTTATGATAAAAAAGCCATCAATCTGAAAGATATATTAAGCTAGTTTTCTCTTCATCAGATAAAGTTAATCGAATCGCTTATTGATTCATAGAAGACTTTTTGAATAAATAAAAGACGACCACAATATTTTTACTTGAAAGAGGTAATCTTACTGGACTGATAGAGCGGGAAAAAATAGCGAGAACAAAGATCACAGTCTGGCTAGGGTGTGGGTGCCAATAGCATTCCACCCATATTCATTTCAAAAAAAATCTTAAATGTGATCGTAGAGTTTTATTCTCCTTCGAATGGAACGGTCTCGGAATTTTTTTGTTTCAAATTTATGGGACATGAGTTATTTTCACACTTGTTTCCTTTGTAATGAGAGAAACTGTGCACAAGTTGAGGAAAATCTATTTTTTCATAGATCACATAAATTAAAACTGCTGTGAATCTATCAAGAAATGGTATTTTTTTTTATGAAACCTGTACGTATATCTCAAAGAGCATTCTTCAGGCTCAAAAGATTAGATGAAATTCGAAGCTGAACAAGATAAGATTTTCGAAAACTAATTTTCATCTACTAGTCCACTTTGTCTGAGGTCATGTCAAGATATCCGAAGTTAATTTCATGTATTTTGTGCAGCTTTTTCTTTTCCACAAAATGGTAGACATAGGTGGATGAAGAGAAGAATCGCAGTCGCCCATATCTATACTGAAGTCCACCACGCATAAGAGACTGTTGCTTGTAACACAGTAGTATCAGAGTGTTTCTATACAATGTGAAGCATCGACTTGGTTTATTTCACATTAGCTTCCTCATTATTTTTTCTTTTCTGTTCTGTTCTTTCTTCACGACACACATTCTGGAAGAAAGAAAAATAACATTTGTTTTTTTTTTCTGTTTTGTATTTTCTATGTAAATCGATACATAGAGCACGAGTCGTCGCGTCAATATTTGTGCTACCTTCACCAGGTAAAACGTGTGTAAATAAAATATGAGACAGAAAAATAGACTAATGCATTCTCAGGTTTGTTTCATTGATGAATATAAGAATTTGTCGACAAAATTGTGTCTTTTCCATTGTCAAATAAAATTTCAATATTGAATATCACACGAAGCGTTTATTTATTCAAGTATAGAAATCAATTTTAATGCTATGATGCAATGTCGATGACAAAGTTATAAAATGGCAGAAATATAAACATAGTGTTTTTTTTCGTTTCAAAACAAATCCTGTAACCATGTTTACTTATTTATCGAATTTCAGACATCGCAAACCATTTTGATTTTTTCTTGTTCTATATCAGACACGATGCAAATTGTCGTTCGAATACTTTTTACTAGCTTATTATTAGCAGCTGTTCTTCATAGTCAGGGGGGGGGGCGGTGGTGGTGGAGGTAGCAGTAGAAGTGGCAGTAGTGGTCATAGAAATGATGGTTGGGCTACCCAAGAGAAAGTAAGATTTGTATTTGTTCGTCTTTTTAATCAGGTTCCCAGGTGTACAGTTAATGAGGACTGGAGTACATTTGCTTCGAGTGTTAAAAAATTGTCTTTTCTTTTACTCGGTGACCTTGAAAAATGTCTATTTTCGCTTAATTCAAAACGAAAATTCACTCTTACTCTTTATCCTAAAGTTACAATTACCATCTCAGTCACACCTAATTTTGTGTTTCAGGTTATTAAAAACGAATTCTTGCTTCCAAACATATTTTTATTTCATCCCTTCTCCTCTTATGTTCGAGTTTTACTTGGGCTCCTGCGAATCCTAATGCTTCGATAGCATCTAGTGTCATGCCTCATTGATTGAAAGAAACGTTTTGGAAGTATTTTTAATAAGTAATCGTATTCGATAATGATTGATGCTCATTTATTCGTTAGAGGTGATAACTACGATAGAGATGTAGAAAGTCCATGCATAGGTGACGATTGTGGTCTACAAGTAAACAACGCGGTTTACGTAATGGGA